AACACAATATACTCTTCAGCCCAAGCTGCAGCAGTTCTTATTTTAAAACTCTCATTAAATGTGAAATATGTACATTACAAATGACTTGTTACCTGAATGGAATATATGTTGAATTCCTGGACACCAGCAGACTGTAGGCCTCCTCTGGCGTCATGTTTAGATTCATCACCTTAAAACACAAATGTCCAATCAGCAAGTGCTACTTTTATTACTCACTTTTATTATTAGTTCACAAGCTGTATGTACTGTGCGTGTTTGCACACCACTTACTGCATATGAGCCGATCAGGTAGGCAGCATTGGCTTGTTTCTTCTGATCTCCACAGGTGTAGAAGATGATCTTCTTCCTTGACAGCGTGATGGACTGTGCAAAGATATTCATTGCAACAGTATGAACTGACGTGTGATAATGTATTTATTTATTTGACTTACATATAAAGGTTAAATGTGGACATTACAGTAAGCCACAGTGGCTGGACAAAATAAGGATGGATGGGGATAAAAACGAGGACTTTAACTCATAAATTAAATAATGACTTTCTACATAGGAGGTGGGGGGGATGCCAATTAACACAATTTTAAGCTAAAAACAGTTTTGGCATAATCACATAGGACAATTATGTACTAGAGCTGGAAAGAGGCTGAATCATCTGCGTCCAAACTTCAGCGAAATCTGTGCCTGACAGCCTCGAAAATCACGACGTGCCAAATACCAACTGCCTTGACAGAGAGAAACAGTGATGACACAAAACAGGGATATATTTGAGCTATAAATTTAACTGTACAAAAAATTGACAAAGCTGTCGTGCAAAAATCTTTAACCCCACCTTATTCAGCCTACCTACTACAGGTATGAATAGATATCGATTGACCTGGGTTTTGCTTCCCATTCTTTCCTCCAGGAAGTACAATTAACACCAACGGTTTACTTTACCTTGAGCTTCTTTGTCAGCTTGCAACAGAAGCGATAAAACATGGCCAGGTTAAGGGGACCAAAGTCCGCATAGAAGCTGGGAGAGACAGGGAGAAGAAGAAGAGTGTCAGAGTGGCTATTTATGCAACCAGCCACTGTCTCTGGGGATGTTTCACTAGATAGAATCAGCTACCTCAGACTGAAACAGTAAAAACACTGACAGAGTAAAGACTATATTTGGAAGCATTTGATGCCAGAGTGGGTCACTCAAAGCGGGACAAAAAGCTGCAAAGACAAGAGGTCCTTTTTGTACCAGTGGCACAAAAAGGGCTCTGAAAGGTCAGCCGTGTCCTCTCCTGACGCCGATCTAACAACAGCCCATTTAAACAGCCATGCCCTGCAGAAAAAGGTGCTTTCATTTGTTTATTTGCTTTTAATTTTTAATGCTGTTGTGGTTATTTGGATTTCTTCCAACAGTAAAAGAGTCATTTAGTGTTTATCTAAAGCAGTGCACCAAATTACATCTTCTATATTTTGCTTTTGCAATAGTGAGCTACAAAACATTTAATACCAAATTAAAAAAAGGATCACTGTATTTTGACTTGCTAATGTGCAAGCCTGCTCCCACCAGCTCTAATGGCCTGAATGATAACTTTTAAAGGACTGCAATGGTACCATAAGGTGTGGCCATTTCAAATGTCTTTTATTGCACTGGAAGAAGAGCAAAGGTCAGGGGCAAAGCATATAACACATGCAGCAACGAGCAAACAGAGTCTGTCCAAAATGCAAAAATGAGATGACACTGATAACTTACTTCTCATATGCCAGCTCTTCATCTATGCAGAAGCAGTGGCGCTCAGCTGTGCTCTTGATCTTTTGCTTTAATATGGCGAAATACAGTTGATCTGGAGGAGGAGGAGGAGGAGGAGGAGGAGGGGGGGGGGTGGGGCGACAACACACAGAGGCAGTTACTTGCTTTTGTCATGCATACAAACTTCTGTTGTCCCCTCATTTCCCCCATATTAGCTCTTCTTCGTCTATAACTACTTTTTACAGTGTTTTCTAGCAACTCACCCTTGATAAACTCAATGCATCTTGACGAAACATCATCCGCGGTCATCTTGCCCACAGTTTTGAACATGCCTGTTTTGCAGAGAAACGTACGAGGTTGATTTTCTTCACAAGGACTTGCGCATACTTGGTAAAACGTCTCCTGACTTTGAGCACAAGGCTTTAAAAAGTCAATTTAAAGCGATGTTTAAAAAATTAAGCGATTTAAGAAAATGTTTTTAAGCTTCAGCTAACTCTCCGGGACTAGAAAGTTGGCAGGCGACGGGAAGAGAAGTCGAAGGAAGGAGAGTTTCGCGTGCAAGTGCGCACTCTGCTAAAAAATGATCTAAGCCCGACTCCTCCCCCTACGCTGTTCTGCGCACGCCATTGGCTGCCAGAGATGCAGAACGCTACGTGATTGGACGGGCGGGCTGTCAGTTACACTCTGCCCCGCCCATTTCAGTTTAAAGTTCTCTATATGAGACACATGATAGGCCCTGGGAACCGTGCCCAAGCGGTTGCTAGGGCGATTCCTCAGCCAATTAGATTCGTGGTTTACACTTCGAGGAACCGCCCACTCTCGGATTTGAGCTGCGCAAGGATGGACAAGAAGCAGGAAAACGCCATGAAAGATGTGAAAATGTACGCTGGACGACACTGACAGTGGGTCAGCTATGATATTTAAGCCCTTGACACACCTTTCCATCTCTATACTTCGCCTACACATCATGATAAAGCGTTATAAGTTATAATTTCTTGCTCTAAAGTACCAAAGCAAAACTGAACTGCAGATAGTGTGTATTTTGAACACATACTCGATGCAGACCAAATGCATTGACGGTAAAGGGACAGACGGTGTCGCCATAATAGGTCAAAAGCTGAAAAAAAAAAAATCAGATTTGCACACACCCTGGACATTCAAAACGCAATGCTGTGCATGCGCAGTCCCGTCTGCTGTCTGCTTCTCCTCATATTTGCCAACTGGGCTCAAACTCAAAGTTGACCGGGTTCATCCTGCAGACCCTCTTACCTGTTATCTCAGTGTAAATATCAGAGTTAGGCTCCGCCTCTGAGCTGTTGGGAGCTGCACAGCGCTTTTTCCTCGACTCTGCCCGTCTCCTCTCGCTCTTGCGTTTCATGTTGTCTTCAGGGTTGCACGGTGGACATTCCTGAGCAGCTGCAGCAACACACCTCCTTCGCTTCGTAGTGCGGCGCCTTGTCCCCGTCTGGTCGCTCTGTTGTTATGGCATGGTGCTTGCCTCCTGTGTTGCTGATGATCTGGGACTGCGTGTGTGTTGTGTGTCTGCTCCAGCCTCTCCGGTGGTGGTGACGTCTATAAGCAGGGGCAGGTTTTTTGCTTTCTGAATCCCCTGCATGTGACGTATCAGGACTGGATGTCCAGCGCCCACCTCCACTGTTTATCTGCACCAGCTGTATAGATAACGTGGGGGATGTAGTCCTATAGGTGCTGAGAAGATCCCATATGGACATGAGAGGGCAATGATCATGCATAAGGGTACAGACTGCATGCAGGTAGTATGACACAAGACAAATACAGCCAATAGCAATTAAACTTTACTTGCAGTAAAATATACACTGTCAATATAAAGAAAGTGGGTACAAAAAGAAGACTGCGATCCACTGACACCAGTGCACCAGTTATTAAGTGCTCATAAATATTAATCATGCACACCATCTCACAACAAGTATGAGAACAGAATTACAGAATATAAGACACAGTAACATAAGTGATAGAAAAGGTAGGCTAGAAAATCAAACCGTAATGCATTCATGTCCCTCTTACACACACAGCCACACATCATTCATGCTTTCACACCAGACCAATCTTACCTCAAGGACAACTTACAAGCTTTTCCAGAGCTTTGTACCATGTCTCACGGTCTAAATTAGCAGAAGAACGTTACTCAGTTCACTAATACCACTTTCCCACCGAATTAGCTCTGGTTCTTGAAAAGGTTTCATCAAGAACTCTTGGAACCTTGGTGCTTTCTAGCAAACTAGCCTGCGTTTTACTTTCAACCACTTTTTAGCAGAACCATTGTAATCAGGGATGCATCATCACCTGAGGGTATTACACAATGCACAGCCAAAGTACAGCAGATTGTATTGATTACCTGCAAGCTTTTGTGCTGTTATTTCATTCATTTCCCCAGCTGCCTATCCTGTTAGGGGTCGCGAGGGGGCTGGAGCCTATCCCAGCTGACATTGGGAGAGAGGCGGGGTACACCCTGGACAGGTCACCAGACTATCACAGGACTGACACATAGAGACAGACATGCTCACATTCACATCTACGGGCAATTTAGAGTCACCAATTAACCTAACCTGCATGTCTTTGGACTGTGGGAGGAAGCCCATGCTGATAACATGCGGGGAGAACATGCAAACTCTGCACAGAGCGCCTCCCCCACCCTGAGTTTGAATCAGGAACCCTCTTACTGTGAGGTGTCAATGTTAACCTCTGCACCACCGTGCCACCCTATGTTAACACAGGTATTTGTCTTCATCCAAAAAACAAGCATGGACTATCTGTTGATGATAATATGATTTCTCACTTGACCATCCTCTCTTTCCAACATGTAGAATATGACATGTTAACTGATATGGTTACGATTTGCACTTCAGGTCAGTGAAAACCTGCTATTTTTCGGTTCGAGCTGGGTACCAACTTTTTGAGCTTTAAACCAATTTATTTTTGCTCCGAACGGTAGGGTGGCATGGTGGTTCAGTGGTTAGCATTGTCGACTCACAGCAACAAGGGTTCCTGGCTCGAGCCCAGGGTGGGGGAGCCCTTCTGCTCAGAGTTTTGCATGTTCTCCCCGTGTCAGCGTGGGTTTTCTCTGGGTACTCCGGCTTCCTCCCACAGTCCAAAGACATGTAGGTTAGGTTAAGTAGTGACTCTTCATTGGCTGTAGGTGTGAATGAGAGCATGAATGGTTGTCTGTCTCTATGTGTCAGCCCTGTGATAGTCTGGTGACCTGTCCAGGGTGTACCCCGCCTTTTGTCCAATGTCAGCTGGGATAGGCTCCAGCCCCTACGCAACTCCCAGCAGGATATGCGGTTACAGAAAATAAATGAGTGAATGCTTCAAATGGTTCAGAATAAGTTGCGCAAACTGGAACAGAGCCCATTTAATGTTGGTTGAAAAGTGACATTACTGGTTTTTCCCAGAGTTTTCAACTTCAGCAGCTCATGAAATGTGACTGACAGCTCTGAAAAACTAGAAAGGAGACCTCGAGTTTAGACTCTGTTTCCGTCAAACTACTGTTTCCAAGGTCAAGAATAAACTTTTACACTTAACACAGACGGTATGTTTTAGACCTATCCAAGATTTTGGCGAGGCAGTCAAGTTGCTAACCAGTAGCTTACACACATGATAAACAACAGACTCAGAAATACTGCGACACAAATATCTGTTACAGCGAGTGATGTTGCCCACACTCTTTGTAGCATTTCGCCAGTGCATAATGGTGATGTAACTTAACATGTAACACACATAGATCCCTGCATGTGTGATAATAACAGTGATGTGGGGAGGAGCGTGATTTCAGGCGGCCGGCCTGCTACACATGGATGATCTTTGGCTTATCGCTGAAGTCCAGAGTCTGTTGAACTCCAGCGAGCTGCAGGAGCCAGTTAATGGGCATGTGGTCCAGGCGATTCATGTCAAAATGAGAAAAATGAACTTGAGAGCCTGCAGAGGAATGAAAGAGTGAGAGAGTATACAACACAGAATGAGAAATTAAGACTGAGCAGAAATACAAGGAAACAGAGAGACAAGCTGACCTGGTCCTGCAATGATGGCTCCACCTTGCTGATGCAGGTCTCCCTGGAAGTCAAATGCAGGGCTTGTCATGGCCCTCCAGATACTCTTCATTTGTCCCATAAACATACCAGACTTCACATGGGGACTGGGGTTGGCTACACAAACATATACAGATGCAATTCTTTATAAAATACCGTGTCAGAATATGCTATGTTCATGAACTTAAACTGTTACTGCATTACCTGAGTCTGAAAATTTCTCCTCTCTCTTCATCCCAAGCTTTTGATAAATGCACCTCTCCGGGTCCACGTATATTTCATAAGGATACCCTGTCAGTGAGCAGAATTGCTAGACAAGATCGAAAACTAAATTAGCATGATAGGAACAGATGTGGCAGACTGACATTATGCACAATAATCACAAAATCCATTACCTCTATGTGATGATAAGCAGACTGACCAATCACGACCAGTCTAATGTCGGCATTCTGCAACAACACACATCAAATGTTGGAGTTTTCAGAGTCAGTCATTTAGATTTACACCCATCAAAGCTATCACTAGGATATTAACTCTGATTTGCACTTCAAATTTGAAACTAGGCCAACACAGGAGAAACACCCCAGGTGAGTTTTCTGGGATTTTGTGTTTAAATATGCAAATGGAACATTAACTAATTAAATATGTGCTGATCTGCAGACACTTCCAGAGCAAAAATGTGAACATTGGATTAAGCCAAGTTCAGAATTCTTGTTTCATTTCGTTTACATATTAAAGTCAAAGGATTTTACAGAGGAAATTTTGGGTAACTCTTTCATCACTTCATGAATTAGAAAATACAGGCAACAGCCATTAAAAAACAATTAGGCTATGGATGATATATGAACAGCCTTCTCTTCCTTTAGAATGTAGCATAGATAGTAATAAAACTCAGACAAGACAAGACAATAACAAGGAGCAGTGTGAATGGCAATTGTAAAATACCATGTCGAAAAGCTAAATTTCCTTTTCCTTTTCCATAAAAACTCACAACACATTACCAACTAAAATAAAGCTGAGTACAGATTTAAAATAAACAAACAAAGGTCAAGTGCAGGCTAAAACCAAAGCAGAGCTGTACCCACTCTTAGCTAAATGCCCTCAAACTTTTAGGGGATATTAGTGTATTGTGGCATGTTTATTGTAGTAGGTGTGGGATATGTTGTGGTGTTTGTATTGTGGTATATGTACTGTGGTGTGTGTATTGTAGTGTGTGGATTGTGGTTTATGTATTTCATTGTGCATTCAGTGTTCATAGTGAATTATGGTTTATTATGTGTTTTAAACTGTATATTTATAATAACATTTTAGGTCGACATGTAAAAGCCCAGCTAGGGACAAGAGTTGAAAATTGGCAATATCTATAAACTCTCTGTGCAACATATCAGTCCCATACTCTGTATTGGCACTATGGAAATTGCATCGTCCCTATCAAATAAAAATAGAAAAAAGTTTGGTGCTGCTGAAGTGGACATTTTTGGCTCAGAGTATGAGAAAAAACAAACATCACCATTAAACTTCCCCAGTTAATTAATTAATCAGTTTTTGTATTACCAGTTTTCTGAAATTATACATTTTAATATGCCTAATTAAATGTGCTTTTTGCATACATATCCAGACTGGTAGAAACAGATTTCCGCACACTTACATCTATGCAGAGTTTCACTTTATTGTTGAGCTTTCGGTCTATTAGACCTTCATCAGAGCATACATAGGAAGGTCTAATAATTTAATTTGATTAATTTTATTTTATATACATTATTAATCCTCAAGGGGAAATTCAATTTTATAATTTCATTATTTTTTTTATATTTTTTTATCATTATTATTATTATTATTATTATTGTTATTAACAGACCAAAAGCTCAGCAATAAAGTGAAACACTGCATAGATGTAAGTGTGTGGAAATCTTTTTCTACCAGTCTGGACTTATTGATGTTTGGAGGACGTTGCCGAGACCAAGCCAGGTGGAGCTGGATCATTGCACACATTTCCAGAACAGAAATCTGAACTAAAGTAAACACCTTAATGTGTATTTTGGAAGTTTTCTTTCAATTTATTTCAAAGATAACATGTTATGGAAGCATAATTAGCCCAAAATATTGACCAGGGCATGAAAAAACATTTTCACTTAGGGTGTTTTTGCCTGTCCAGTGCATCCACAGCTGAGGATCAGGACTTACCTCTAGTGCTTCTTTGGGTATTTTGCTCAAATCCTCCACATATTCTTTACAGGTGTAGCACAAGAAATTCTGCAGGGACACACAAAGTATATAACAGAGCTAGTTAATAGGTTATAGTGATGACACATCACTGTTTAAAACTCTCATCTTGCACCTATATAATGTTCAGCCCTCTGTCTTCACCTATGGACATGATCTCTCCATTCCTCCACTGCCATCATAGCATGGGAAGCTGTTGGGGCATCTGTCCGCCAAGGCTGATGTTCACCTGTTGCTTACTGTGATGCCTTTTATTGGGGCTCAATCTACTTAACTCGAGCCTGACATGATTTTACTGAGGCAGTGAAAACTATGAGTCAGCAGCAAGGTTAAGCCAAACAAAGTTATTCCCCTACCCGCACGAAAATTATGACCGATTTCCTGTCTTGATATAAATTCTTGAACGGAACAGAGGATCCATGTCGGTCGTAAATTAAACAGTCCTCGACGTCTTCGAGGCGATAATCGACAGAGGGGACCCAAAGCTCCTGGTTTTCTTTGGTGACTTGACGAGTTATTGGGGAAAGTGCTTCAGCCATTTTTTTTTCCTGAGGCTTTCCGAATTCGCTTTGCTATTTTGGGAGTTGCCGTTCAGGCTGGAGGAGAGGGTGGCTGCAGATTCACGCCCATATGCTGCGTGTGTGTCTCTGAGTGTGTCAAAGACATAGAGAGGAAAGAGGACCGAAACTGAAGGTTAAAGTGAACAGCAAAGTAAAGAAGTACATATTAATAGTTCATAATAATTATGTAGTTAGCAATACTACTGGGTCCATTTCTATTTCCTTTAATGTAGAATAGAAGGTGACATCAGTGCACAGCAGCGGTGTGCAGTGCCAGCCTGTGTCACAGGCAGGAAACTCCAAAGGCGCCGTCATCCATAGGGGGCGACACAAATGGGGAGAGAAAAAAAAAATTATCAAAAAGTTGATCTGTTACTATTTTTTACTCATACTATTACTACCAATATTTTAAAATATTACACATGGCAACGACAACATAACTACAAAGCAAAGCCTACGAAATAATAGAGAGGCCATTTTTTCAGGGCCCCCCTACCATCTCGTTACACTTTACCTGCTCTCTGGGGGAGAAGAGTTATCTGACGTCACGTTGAACCCCGGAAAACGCTGTATCGTTATTATGTTAAAACTACATTATGTTAAAACTACAAAACTAGCTCCCAGGTGCCCCTAAATTAGCACTTCACTTCTGAGAGGAGTGTATGTGGAGGGAAAGGACCACAGGAGGAGAGCTAGTTCAGTTAGCCGCTACCGCTAAGCAGCCGTTGGACACAACGAACATCTCGCGGAGGTTGCGTTAATTTACGTTGTGACGCGTTCAAGCTCTATTTGGTAAAAATTAGTATTCGGCGACGGTAAGTTACTATGGTTACAACGTTCTCATGATGTGTTCAGTGTAATATTGTAAAATGTAGCTTTAGGTGAGAAACTTGAATAAATCCAGTTGTTTTAAGGAGAAGATTTGTTGATGTTTTCACTGCAATGTAAAATAGATATTAGAGAGGAAATTATGATGTATCATACATAGTAAAAAGGCTTTGTGTATATTTTTTAAAGATGTTTTCATTTGAAATAAGGTTATGTTGTTTCATTGTGTATTATTGTTGTTTTTTTATTGTAATTTTTTTTTTAAATTTTAAATCTTAAAGTGAAATTTGAAGCGAACCGAACTCATTCAGAGGGGTCTGAGTTCTCTTGGAGTGTACACATATGCCCAAAAAATTCTGAGTCACCAATCTGAGTCTGTTTAGAGGGCTGAAAAGGACCAAGTGTGAAAACACCCGAAACACAAGGTTTGTTCGGCTTACCAGGCGAGCATGTGCGCAGGAGTGTTCACAGATCAAGGATGAGGCTCACACACCTGTGCTCCATGAGCCTCTTAAAAGTTCAGGTGCTCTCACCTTGACTGGCCAAATTTTGCCTGGGTCTTAGGGTGTTTTGACACTTGGTCCTTTTCAGCCCTCTAAATTGACTCAGCTTTTTTTGCAAACACATATGCATATGCATACGCATATGCAAACACTCCAAGAGAACTCAGACCCCTCTGAAGTGAACTAGCTCCCTTCAAGTCAGCGGTGTAGTTCACTTTACTTGTGCACTGTGAGCACAAAGCGCTCCAGGTTCGCTTTGCTCTTTGCCATTGTATTTAACCCTCTAGATCACACGCGGCTGCACTGGGACACTTGAAAAACAGACGAAACCATGTTAGCCTGTAAGGCTTGCAAGGATGCAGGACGAGGAGTAGTTTGGTCCACGGAAGATACTGCACATCTCCAGATTTGGACCATAGAATGCATCAAACGGAAACAGTCTACAGCACAGAAACACTAAGGTTTTCCTCCGCTTTTAGGTTCATCTGAAAGTATGGGGCCTCATAATCACACTGCAGTGCCACGTCAAAATAAAAACAAAACTATGTCAATATATAAAATAGGCCTGAGAGGACTGAGGCTCCATCAGAGCTGAAGTTGACCAGACAGAGAACTGACTCTTCTTTCAAATCCCCTTTCTGTTGGTCCACTTTTTGGTTCTCTTTAAGAGGGCTCAGTTTGGTTTGTTTAAAAGGGACTGTGTGAAAACATCTTTAGTGCCCCCCTGCAACACATAGAAATATTTTTGTTTTGTTTTTTTTTTGTTTACTGCTGCTACTGCCCTACCACTCCCGTCCAGTAGGTGGCGGTAATGCACCTTAGAGCTGGTATGCCAACTGCCATTAAACTCATAGAAGAAAACGAGGAAGAAGCCTCAGCAGCAGCAGCAGCAGAGCCAGAGCTGCCACTGTTTGGATAAACATTACGCTAGTTCAGTAGCAGGGTTTCTCGCCTCCGTGTCTCTCCTGCCGAGACTTGTCAGCACTCATCTCGACCGTGCAGCATAGCAGTATTATGCGAGCACCGTCCGGAGTGTGGGAGCACCGTGTGAAGTGGTGAGAGATGTTTCATGTTGGGGCTACAGCTAAGTTAGCATCTAGTGATGGAGCAAGCTAGCCTGTCAGAAAGCTTCAACTGGGTTAGCACTGAAACCGTGGCTTTTCCTCTTAATTAGGGTGTGATTGTGCTGTTGAGTTGGAGCTAATTTCACACATAAATCTGTCGCGACTTCAGCCAAAACACAACTGTCACGTCAACACTACTGTGGGAGTGTGTATGTTAAACAAATGACCACCTGTTCAATGTTTACATCTTTACATTCGGCTGCAGCCGGACGGTGCATCGTTGCTGTTTCCTCCCTAAACACACAACAAATCTGCTATTTTGTAATCTAATGTAGGCAAATAAATCAGGGTTTTAACACCTGACAAGCAATGCACTCATAACACTAATAATACAAGTCATGACTATAAAGTTTGCTGCTCCTTTGTTGTGTACACAACATATGACTGCTTTCTAACAATGTTGTGATAGTACTGTGTACTGCACGGAGAGAAGTGAGTGAACACACTGTTGGCTGTCTATTTTCAGCATCATATATGTTCTCAGCTGTGTCAGTATAAATATAGGGCTATCTTAATTGTCCTTGACACTTTCAGAAGAGGCTCACGTTGTCTCAGGTCTATCTTAATACCATGTATGCTCACATGTCATCATGTACTGGAAGAGTTATTGTTCCTCCTGTCCATACTGTTGTGTGAAAATCCATTGTGAAGTTTAGCTGAAGATAATATAAGGCTACAGCAGTCTGGGGAAGGCAAATCAAGAGGGTGCCCTCTGAAGTTACAGAGTTTAAGTAAGAAAATCTCTCAGTATTACTACTCCTCCAGCTCAGTAAAGTTACTCCATACAAGGAAACACTAAGAGGGAATTTGCTTTGCGTCAAGAATAGCAAGGGAAAGCGATGCAAAGTACTTAAATATGTCTTGTATATTTGCATACATTGTATTTATTCATTTTTATTCCACATAATGTTGTTGGCAGAGGATCTTGAGCATATCTGTTGATGTTGGTCTTTGCTTAATACAGGGGTGTCAAACTAATTTTAGCTCAGGGGCCACATACAGCCTAATTTGATCTCAAGTGGGCTGCACCACTGAAACCACTGCATTATAACCTATAAATATCAACCCCGCCAAATTAATTCATCATTCTGAAAGTGTTCATCCATTTACCAAACAAAGAAGAAAGATGAATTATGAGCAAATTCAACAGTCTGTCATAGTTTTTCCACTTTGAGTCAGTCTACTACTCACTTTCATTACGTGTCACTTTTTTTCATAATTTTCCACTAAAGTGGAAGCTATTAAAGAGGCAGGTTAAGTCGTCCCCTAACTCACAATCTTAAGTTTTGTCAGTGCCTCAGCAGCAGGGCTCCACCAATATTGTTTTAAGACATAAGTCTGATACATGTTATTTAGTACTGAAGCTGCTGGTCGACAATATTTTGCACAATGTTCAATATCTTTAAATATGACCATAGAAAGTACTTATCGTTTCAGAGAGCTGTGTTCTGGTCAGAGTGGAAAAGCCTCTAAGACAGTATTTAACATGAAGTATCTGTTCACTGTTTACATTGCTCCTGAAACCTCTCAGCCTTCACACGTGCATCAACATTAGGCGTGCAAAGTCATCTAGAGGGCTGGATTGGACACTTGGGCATGCAGTTCTGGCCCTTGGGCTGTATGTTTGACATCCTTGGCTTAAAACATTTGTGTTTGCTTCAAGAAAAATAGTTTTTAAATAATCTTGACAAATGTATATTTGTATTTTTATGTGAAGCTGCTCTATTTTTTTTCTACCACACTTTTTAAGGGCTGATCAAACCCCAGTGCTTTTTGAGTGCCGACTAGGGATGGGACGATGTACGATTTTTTCACAGATTGCAATGACAAAGACTCACAATAAGTTGGTGATTTCAATTATCAAATAACTGTGAATATTTTGTCCAGCAGCACCAAAAGAGACTGCTGGGCAACCACCAATTAAAGAGGGTTTGCAGAAACAGGCTGCATACATGCCAACCTCAAGAAACACAGAAGATCTTGATCAAGCATTGGCATATGTTTATTATTCAAAGATATGATGTCATTTCAAATTGTTAAAAAGTCTGACTTTGTAAGATCTTGACTATTTTTTTTTTATTAAAAAGCATGTTCATAAAAAGAAAGTAAGATGTGTCCTATCTGTGATGCCATAAAATGTTTGTTTCATAACAGAATGTAAGGTTAAGTGATTCCAGTATGTTTTAGTGCCATGTAAAGCATAATCGTGACAAGACATTTTCGTATCGTCCCATGCCTTTTTCAAACCTAAATGTTTTTGAGTGTTGAAAACTGTCAAGTACTGGAAGTTAGTCAGATGCTTTGTCAGGTCTTGTTTCTATGGTTACCTATGTTAAGACAGCATCAATGACTGCTGTGTTTGAGATGTTTGGCTCGTTTTGTTTAATGAACAAGCAAAGGGTTTACATCATCTGAAAAAGTGATCTGAAAAAGACTTTTTTGGTATTGTATTGACACCAATATGATACCAACAATGATACAATATACACAGCTAGCACTACTGTGGTCTTCAAGGTCTTAAGAA